ATCATGCTTCTAGCTTTTCGGGAACCCTTAACTAGGTTTCACTGTTTCCTTGAACTTCTCTTTATGCATGCACATGTGTATACATGTACATACAAGCAATATTATAAGGAGAATCTGGCAGTCAAAGAATGCATCTGTTTTACTATGTAAATGTCAAATTGAAAAATTAAAAGGATGCATGCCTTAAGAGATTTAGCAATTCAAAGCACAATTTAAAGTTAATCCTGATAAATTTTTCTATGGCTCAGATAAAGTGACTCTGTCTTGTGGCAATAGCATAAGCATGTTATTCTATTAACTTTAAAATAATACAATTCTGTCCTTAGGAGTTTGTTTCAAATATGTTATTTGAGTAAGGACTTTCTTAAAATACATATTAATGAAATTAAAAATTTTTTTCATAAAAGGTTGCTGATTATATGGGTTATTTTGGTTAAAAATTTATTCCTATTTTATCTCAAATTACATCTAATTAGATGAAGCCATCAGAAAACGTCATGAAAGGTGAATAAAATATGTGATATGTTTATATTTAGTGTAATATTCTTAAATGAATATCTAAATCAACTCAATTATTTGTGTTTATAATAATCTCCTAAGTCAAACAATTAAATACACATATAGATACATAAGACAATAGTTTGGTACTTCCTACAGGAATATTTGAAAGTAATTAACATAACTGAGAAAATATAATTTATTAAATCATGTTTGACATTTTATAAAAAACATAAAATTTGTAATTTATCTTTACCTTGCCAAGTCTTTTTTATTATGTTTTTATTACCATTTATCCCCTTATACCCACTGCCCACAATCACCATATGCTTGTCCATGTCCATGAGTCCTTTTTGCTTGATCCCTCCACTCAAACCCCTCCCAGCATAGCTCATTCTGCTTGCTATCTATGAGTCTCTCTCTATTTTGCTTGTTAGGTGAGTTTGTTCATTAGATTCCACATATGAGTGAGATCTTATGGTATTTTTCTTTCTCTGACTGGCTTATTTCACTTGGCATAATGTTCTCCAGGTCCATCCATGCTGTCGCAAAGTGAGGCAGTCACTGGCCTGCAGTGACCGAGAAACGCTGCAGATGCTCTAGATATGAGAAAGCATACACAAGGACAACTGAGTCCTGTGGAGAAATATGAACGGAATGTCCACTCTAGTGGAGAGCGTCCCGTTTTCCTGCCCGAGCAGGCTTTTATTAAGATACAGATACAGTTTGTTGATTACAGTCTGGCAGGGAAGATCAAAAGGAATAGATAACTTTCAAAGGGGCTGACAGAGCTCATGCTGAGATTTTGGGGTTTTATCACTTAAAAAGGCTATAGGATCTAAAAGCTAGTTTTGTTTCCTGCCCATGCCTTCATATTCTAATTCAAGAGCACCCTCCAACAAGCACGTCTCACAGGATCTTACATATTCTATGCCCCAGGTCTAATTACCCCGGGGGTCCGCTGACTCTTTCTGGACTACACTGCCCCTGTTATTTTCCACAGGCCTGAGTCGGGCAGAGGAGACAAAGGCAGCTGGGAAACTTGGATTTCTCACAGCCAGAATAAGGACTCAGGCTTTGTCAAAGCTGAGGGGGCAGGGGTCGATGTCGATCACCCCCTCATTTCCACAACCCCCTGAGTCTCTTCCCTGAGGGCTTTCCCATGTGATCGCATCTGTCTTAGATTCATTCTCTTTTTAGAGAATTGTTACCTATCATTGACTGCTGACCAAGCAATGGGAGCAGGCATAGAACAGGCAGCGTTCATGCCAGAGAAATAAGTTTTGTCTCCTTAGTGTCTCCTGGTTTGGAGGTCTCTCACTCAGCCTTAGCCATGGGGGGTTACAGCTTTCTGAGACCAGGTAGGGTGGACCCCAAAAACAAAGGGTAAAAATTTATTTTTGTATGGCTGAGTGGTATTCCATTGTATAAATGTCCCATAGTTGTTTTATCCACTCATCTGTTGATGGACACTTGAGCTGCTTCCTATCTTGGTGATTGTAAATAATGTTGCAAGAGTACTATAAGGGTACTCATGGATAGGAAATATTGACATCATTAAAATGTCCATGCTACTATGTCCATATAATTCCTATCAAGATTCCAATGACATATTTCACAGAACTATAACAAATATTTCAAAAATTTATATAGAATCACAAAAGGCCCCTCATAGCAACAGTGATGCTGAGAAAGAAGAACAAAGTTGGAGGAATCACGCTACCTAATATCAAACTATACTGTAAGGTCATAGTAGTCAAAACAACATGGTACTGGCAGAAAAACAGACACATAGATCAGTGGAACAGAATAGAAATCCCAGAAATAAACCCCCACCATTATGGTCAATTAAAATTTGACAAAGCAATCAAGCCCATACAGTGAGCTAAAGATAATTTATTCAATTAGTGGTGTTGTGAATATTGGCAGATACATGCAGAAAAATGAAACTTGACCACCTTCTTATACCACACAAAAGAACAAATGCAAAATGGTTCAAGGACTTAAATGTTAGACCTGAAACCATAAAAATCCTGGAAGAAAACAGGCAGTAAAATTTCAGATATTTCTGGTAACAGTATTTTATCTGATATGTCTCCTCAAAGGAAACAAAAGAAAAATAGACAAATGAGACTACATCAAACTAAAAAGTTTTTTGCACAAAAAAGGAAACTGTGTACTTTTTCTTTAAAATGTTTGTTGTTGTATATAAGCCCTGACCTGTGTGGCTCAGTTGGAGCATCATGCCATAAACCAAAAGATCATGGGTTTGATTCCCAGTCAGGGCATAAGCTTAGGGTGAGATAAGCTTTTGTCCCAGCTCAGGGTGCATACAAGAGGCAACCAAATGATGTTTCTCTCTCACATAGATGTTTCTTTCCCTCTTTCTGTCTCCCTGCCTTCCCCTCTTTCATAACAATTAACATTTTCTCAGGAGAGGATAAAAAGAAATAAACAAACAAGTAAATAAAATGTTTATCATGTATAAATAAATTAATACTTCCATAAATCTTTTGTTATTTCATTTTCTCAGACTGACTGTACTCTGAGATTTAAGGTAAATGTAATCTAGATATTCAAAGTCTAGGAGGCATTTTAGTAGAGTTGATCTTCTATAAGAAAAATTTACTTATAGCCCTGACTGGCGTAGCTCAGTAGATTGAGCGCGGGCTGCAAACCAAAGTGTTGCAGGTTCGATTCCCAGTCAGGGTACATGCCTGGGTTGCAGGCCATGACCCCCAGCAACCGCAGATTGATGTTTCTCTCTCTCTCTCTTTCTCCCTCCCTTCCCTCTCTAAAAAATAAATAAATAAAATCTTAAAAAAAAGAAAAAAAAAGAAAAATTTACTTATTTGACCTTCTCTTAAAACTCAATTTCATGGACATAAAATGTTTGTTGATATTAAATAATTAGAAAAGTACTTAAAGTGTAATCGTTTTTATATGGCTAAAGCTGTCATCAAAAAAGTACGGAAATTATTGGAACAAAAGTTGAAGCAGGTCCCACATGTAAAAGCCTCTCTGGAAATAGGCAAAGCAAGATTCTTTTCCTGGGCCACTTCTTAGAAAAACAACAGTAACTTCGTGGAGAAGAAAGAGAAGCTCAAGGGCTGCATCAAGAGTTGACGATCATTTGGTTCTGCCACGAAGAAAAGTACCCAAAGACTGAGGGTTTTGGAAGGCTGACTCCAGCTACAGTCCAACCAAATGTTTGAATCTGTCACTTATTTGTCATGTGACCTTGAGAGAACTATTTAAAACTCATACCCCAGTTTCCTCATCTATGAAATAATTACTTACCTTCCTTGGCTGTTACTGGTATTCATAAAAAAATAAAAGGAGGCTTATTAAAACTTTTAAAAATTTATTTGAGCAAAAATCAACTTGATTGGGGCAGGTCCAAACTAGAAACGTTAAGAGCACTCTACCATCAGGAGTCAGGGGAAACTCTTATGTAGAGAAAGAGCAGAAGCAAAGAAACTATTTGATTGGCTGTAGTTTAAGGCTCAGTTGGTTGTTTGTGATTGACTTTATTTAGCATTTTGAGTTTATGACTTTGAGTGATTCTTAGGCCTAGATTTTGGTTTGCTTATGTAGTAGGCTACCATGGCATTGGTACCTCATCAGTCTAATAGCCGCCTTTAATTAGTTAAATAGCATTGTCATTTAATTTATGTAAGGCACTTAAAAAAACTACATAGTATATAGAAATGTTCAATGAATGCTATTTGTAATTATTATTATTAGGAATAGTTTGAAATATGTGAGTTTTGATTTATTCTGTGTCTTAACAAAGACAACAAAGGCAGCTGATTTATGGCAACCTAGCTAGTAACCTGCCTTCCTCTTATACACCCTTTATTTTACAGCTTGTTTTTCTATTCAGCACTATACTGTGTAGAATAATATAGGGTACAACTAAGATTGCTTTGTCTGAGGCCTAAAATTGTACTGTTGGTCCTGGCCAGATTTTCCCTGGCCCGTTTTCCCAACTGTAGGTAGACTTTTAAAATATCATTTTAAGTCAGAAGCAAAAGAAGAACTTGATCAAAATAACAGTTTTTATTTGTTTTTGCTTGAGATTCTTTTCCTTTGGGAATGACATGGGTAAAGAGTAGGCTTCTGTCAGTGTTTTTATCTGATCAAAGAATTCATCAAGTTACAGAAAGAATTGATTCCTTCTATATTTGCATAAAACCTTAAATGGAAGAAGAAATGCTAATTAAAACCACTAGTTTTAGCTAATTAAAAACCACTAGTGGGCTTGTATGCTAATTAATCGTTGATTTTAAGTTATGCAGTCATTTTCACAACTGAGTAAAGCTGGATCTGAATTTTATTACTCACTTTTGATTCATTTCTTTGGCAACAATTTGTAAGAGCAATACAAGAGAAAGGGAACAGTTATTTTTAAAAATCTATATACATTCATACATTTATAATTTGGTAAGTCTTAGAAAATCTACAAACTTCTTTTTAAATATTTCTTTTCTTATTTTTAGATTGCTTCCACTATTTCAAAGATAACTTTGTTTTCATCATGAATGCTAACAGAGAGGAGACACCAAAGTCCAGAAGCTACTGTGCTTACCTTTTTAATGCCTTGATGATTCTAAGTGTGATCGAGCTGTTTCCCCTGGTCATTGGAACTCCTAAGCAAAATATTCCACGACTGAAGCTAACCTACAAAGGTAAATGTGTGTAAATGTTTTCAGGTTGTCTTTTTAATTACTGTATTCCTTTTATTCAGAAATACATGCTCACTTCACTGACCTGTTTCTAGTATTGACACCAGCTAATAAAATAATTATAAAACAAAAAGGCCAATTATTTATTATTTTTGTGAAGAAAATAGATGTCTAAACTCTGTGTACATACACTTTTCATTCCATTGTTTACAGTTATCAACAACTTATGAACATAATAAGGAAATTTTGGTCTGCAAGTTCTAATCAGTTTTTATTTTTTTTAAAGATTTTATTTATTTATTTTCAGAGAGGGAATGGAGGGAAAAAGAGAGAGAGAGAGAAACATTAGTGTGCGGTTGCTGGGGGCCGTGGCCTGCAACCCGGGCATGTGCCCTGACTGGGAATCGAACCTATTGACACTTTGGTTCACAGCCCGCGCTCAATCCACTGAGCTATGCCAGCCAGGGCTAATTTTTATTTTTCAAAAAAAGAGAAAAAATTATGTCACATAGCTGCCTAACTAGTTTATCCCTACAGGGAACTTTTTATTTTTTATTTTAATTTTTTTGTTATTGTTCAGTTACAGAAGGAATGTTTTTAAGCAGTAAAATATCTTCAAAAAATTAAGACACTAAAATATCTTTAACCTCTCAAGCATATACAAATTTTATTATTTTTAAAAGGCAGTATGAAAGGATGAAAAGTATGAAAAAACTATTTTAGAAATGAAATCTAAGTTTTAATATTTAAATTACTATAAACAAAACTTTTATAAGTTATAGTTAATCATCTTATGTCTACATATGTATAATACATGTATGTACATACATACATATAATAGAAGGAAGACAGAGAGTGCCAAGTTTGATGCACAAAGATTTATTGCTTTTGTTTTCTTTCCTGTAATGTACCCTTGACTTTTTTAATACCTTAAGTATTGAATGTAAAAGACTCAGCCTCCTCTATTCTGAACTTGGCAGGCAAAAATTATACTAGTGGTTTTAATATCATCTGGTTGTTAGGACAACTTATTTTCATCTTAAATTAAATGTCAATAATAAAAGCTAATTTGATGTCACGTATAAGGGTACGTAGAATTTCTGGAACAGATAAAACTACTTGCTTATGTGCTGATCAGAGACACAGCCAGTATCACTAGAGTCAGCTATTCTGAACAGCTAGAAGATTATTTTGAGGGATTTCTTAAAGGCCAACAAAAATGTAATAACCATTTTATCCAAAGAATGCTGTTTGATAAAGACTTCTCTTTGAACCTCTAAATCCACAGTAGCTTGTTTGGTTCTATTGTTGTATAAAGAGATTTCTCTTTAGTTGCATATTTTGAATTCTTGTACATTTATTCATGCTAAATCTGTTTCTTGAGTAATGAGTAAGGGACCTTGAATCAGGATGTTCTATATTTCTGTATTTTGTGTTATAATGTACATACATCTTATAACATGTATACATGTATTCCCACAAGGTGGGCTTCTCACAGTGACTTCTACAGTTTACACTACAGATGAAGTAAAAATGAGTTTTGAGAGATAACCTACTTCCATCTTGTGACAGTATAAACATGTTCTATTTCACCATCATCATGAAGGAATTCATATGGGTTAAAGATATTTATACATAGAAATCACTAGTATCTGCAATGTTTTTTGTTTAAAAAGCTCCAGAAGATAAGTGACATAACTAAAGAGGAAATGGATGACGCTTTTGAAAGGGAAGAGAAAAATGAAGGTTCACCAATATATAAAGATTCATCCCTTAAGATGAATTATAGTTTCTTTTATCTTTAAAATTTTTTACATCTTAAATTTTAGTATTGCCTTATATTTGAATGGCTTATAATAGATACAGATATAGCTCTGTCACCTATATGTTTACATACCTGTTTTTTATTTTTATTGAGCTTATTGGAGTGACATTGGTTAATAAAATTGTAGTAGGTTTCAGGTATACATTTCTATAATACATCATCTGTATATTTTATTGTTTGTTCACCACCCCAAGTCTATGTAGTCTGTTTTTAACTACATCCTTTTGAGCCTGGCATAACAAGAATTCAGGTATTAATATATTTGAATATTTACCCCCCAAATCTTGCTTTCTCAAAGAATCACAGTAAACCTACAAGGCACCAGCTAGTTAACACTGAACTCACACATATAAGACATAAGGAAGGAAACCAACCTGCTTACTAGTTACCATATACTCACCCATGCTACAATTCCATACTGAACAACCACTACATTCCTAGCACTGTCTGAAAAAAGTCACTGTCCTCTTTAATTTTTTTTCCCAATAGGGAGACAGATAATGACCAGGTAAACAAGTTAATATTATTTAAAATAGTGGGAAGTGTTAGGAAGGTTATAAAGCAGGAGAGTGACTGGGTCCAGGAGCCCTACTTAGACTATATCATGTTGAAGATTTATGATCCCCTGAAAACCCCCTCTTTACCCATTTTACAGATAAGAAACTTGAGCCTCAGAGCCTTAATGCCTTTCCTCAAAGCAAGAAGCCATTAATTAAGTGGCAGAACTATCTTGTGTGTTTTTACCTCTCCAGTTCAAGGTCCATGCTCTTGCCTCCTTGAGGGAATGAGGAAACATTATACGTTCAGGAAACACCAAGATATTAAAAAACACAATATTTCACCATTACCTCTTTGGCCGTATGCTATTTTCAATAACTGCCAATAGTATTAATTATTTTTCGCTCTTCAAAACTAACATGTATTTTCCTGGAAAAGAAAAATTTGAAATCACCTTTAAAATTTGTATCTGCCATTGTATAACTAAACATTAATATGTTTGATAGAATGGTTTTTGTTTTGTTGCAATTTTCTGACAAATGAGTGGATATGTCTGTTTTATTTTTATTTAATAATTATTTAGCTGTGAAATGCAGTATGTGTCTTAAGTAGAGATTCCTGACTATTTAACTTATCTAATTTCTTTGATCTGACTAATCTAGTATTAGTTCAGTTACTCAATTCGGTATAACAGTGGAAGAAAGTAAATTCTGAAGTCAAACTGCTAGGTATTAACTGCTATGACTGGATGTGATATATTTGTCTGTTTATTTTCTGTGGTGTAGTTTTCTTACTCATAACAGAGTAAATCTAACAGTAAATCTAAATGCATTAATTGATTTAGTTTTAATAAGGTTGACAGTGTTCAGCATAATAAGCACTTAATGTAGTATCAATTATTATTTTTTATGAAATATCATTATCATGAAATATGTTAATGGTTGTTCCCAGACCCAAGGTTTCCCTACATAAATAAATTTGAAAAACATTATATATAGTTTTCTCTTGGGGGTTTACAACATATAAATATTGAATTTTCTCCTATTTACTCCCAAAGCATTTTCTACTAGAGTTGGTTTCCCTCGGTCAAGTACCACCTGCAGATTGTTAATTTATTGAAGGCATTTTCCAGGGTTTTTACCTTGTGGTCTTCTAGATGTTAACATGCTCTCACAGCTAAAAATGTCATTGTTGACCCTGTAGAGCAGTGTCTTTGACTACATGGTAGCCCTCAGAGTTGGGTAAAATGAATCATAAAATTATTCATGGGTTCAGACATATAGTCTGGCTTCTCCCCCCCCCCCCCCCACACACACACACCAAAACAGTGGGAAAAGAAGATAGCTTGCTGTGAAGATGTTTCTCTAAATTACTTGGTGAAGAAGCATGATCAATCTTATAGTAAGAATTCCCGTATTATATATATATATATTTTTTCTATAAGGCAAGTCACTGATCGTTTAATTTTTGGTGAATGTGACATATTTGAATGGACTCACTGGTTTTCCCAGATATGTTTTCTGTAAACTGAGGTTGTGCAGTTGGGCTTTCATAAGTTTAAGAGTTCAAGGATAATTTTATTATGTATTTGATACTCAACTGTCAACATTTCATAACAATAGTTTCTGAATATTCTCCATGTTTCTGGCCTTGTTCTGGCAACAAGGGGACGTATTAGCAAACAGAAGAGGCAAAAGTCATCTGTAGTTTATATTCTGATATGAAAGACGGACCATACATGAGTACTTTGCATAATGAGATAGAAGATGAATAAAACAATGGAGAAAAACAAATCAGGAATGTTAGCTAGAGAGTGTTGAAGTGCAGTCGTCCAGGAAGAGCTTACTGAGAGAGTTATGTTTTCACAAATATTTAAAGAATAGTTGTAAGTCATTCAGATAATTGGGAAATAATCTTTTTCTGGCAAAAGGAACAGTGGGTGCAAAGGTCTTGAGGTAAAAAGATGTCCATATGTTCAAGGATCCTAAAGAAGACAGACAGTATGGCTAAACAGTGGGATTGTTGAAAGAAGATTGATTAAATTAGAGAGTTAAGGGAAAGGAAGATTAGTTCTTCCACTGCTGTCATGGCTAAAATACTGATTTTTCAACTGAGTGATATGAGAATCCACTGGGGAATTTTGAACATGGTGGTTACATGATCTGACTCTCATTATAGAATCACTCTGGTTTCAGTGCTGTGAGTACACTGGAAGGGAGAGATCAGGGAAGTAGGGTATCTGGTTTTAGACTATTGCAATAATCTAGCATATGGACCAGACTGGTTATACTAAGGAACAAGAAGAAGATAATGAAGGTAAGGCCAACAGTGTCTGACTCCATGAGTGTTTTTTGTTTGTTTGTTTTTGATTTAAGGATGGAGTTACTATTAATTGAGATAGCAAAGACTGCGAAAGAAAATGGTTTGGAGAAATCAAGCAGACATTTGTTTGAGAAGGCTACTAGATATCTATGTGAGATTTCAAAAGACATCTGAGTATATAACTTCTGGAGTTATGAGATGGCAATTGGAAATATGAATTTGTCAGTCTATTCATATTTTTAAAGTATATTTTACATATTATGCTATTACAGGTTTCCCAATTTTTCCCCATTTCCTCCCCTCTGCCCAGTTACCCGCTTCCCCTCCAGCAATCACCGCCCCTTAGTTCATGTTCCTT